GGCTGAATTTTACAGAGACTTGCCACGGTCTCCAACCCTCCTCCTTTCTCATCCGGGCTTGAGACCGGCAATGGAGGAGCTGCGTTGACAACTTAGTAGTGAAATATTCTGCCTTTAGTTATTAAGTTGTGAGTTCCAATTTTGTGCGGTAGTCACCTTACGTCTAATTGAAGAAAATTAGTGGGTGCCACTGCGCGGAAAGAACCTACGAAATCCAGTTTTCAGGGAGCACCATCATGAAGAAAATTTAATTGATGTCATCAGATAGTTTTGCATCATTCCACAGAAAAGGAGCAAATAAATAGTGGAAATGGGATAATTTAAACGAGGCCTATCGTCAAACGGTTAAAAAACTTTTTCTTTCGTTCCTTCACATCCCGTTGATATTCAGATTCAACTGGAAAATAGATGAAGAGTTTCACGTTCATGCACGATGCGGATTTTCCTCCTGGTTGAACGTGATGGAGACAAGAGACGAATTGAAGCAGAGTACTAATGCATATTTTAAACATGACATTGTCATACCTTGAAATCTAGTTCGTTAAGTTAGCCAGAGTGGTGAATAGTTGGATCCACCGAAACTTCTGAATATATTGCCTCCCGAAGATGAAAAGAAAAGATTGATAAATAAATCAGTTTCCTTAATGGGGCTGTCGACACGAATGTTATCTGCTGTTCAGCCTCTCACAGTTCACCATATGGGTAAGAGATGTACAGTAGAGTCCCAGAAATGGAAATAATGACCAAAGAGTAACGTCGTTTAGTGCGAAGGAAGAAGTGTGGAGTGAATGTACTCTACGTTTGGATTCAATATCTCAGCTGACTTTTCGAACCTCTAATTGTTTTGGGCGTTTGTAGCACGAGAATGAAGTGCAGTACTGTAAAGCGCTTCGGGATTTTTGTCGGAGCATAGATACAGCAAAGATTCGTATGCGTATCTAGTGTCATTCCTGACATTGTGCTTTATCAATGCAGGAAATTTTCCGGATCACGTACCATCTTCTCCATTAATTATTTGGACCGACAGACATTTTCGGCTCAACATGGAACAAAATAGAAATGCTTATAGGCAACCCTTCTGTCCACGTTGAACCTGAAGCAACGTCTGAACACTTTCATATCGCTCATAGCCGTGGATTGGTCTCTTATCCACTGCTCCCTTGTATTTTTGTCAGAAACTATTTTCAAACTACTGATTGATTTTTGATGATTAATCAAATGTTAAGAAGGTTCTTATAGCCCAAGGTATTCACTGGATTTTGATTAAAGTTCAGTGTTGCAATAACAACATTTCAAACTTAGTTTTAGCATATTTTTGTGCTGTGTTGTAACAAATGACTTTTGTTAAAATTAATAATTCTACGGTTTGAAACTTCTTCCGCATGATCAAGCAGTCTTACGTTACTGTAGTTGTAAGTACTAACTTTTCATTTACCTTAAACCGTTACTGTAAATAAAATATTCTTTGAGGACATGACAACGGCGAGGAATAGGCAGAGCGTTTTGAGCTCAACTTTATGTTGTGCAGATTGTTCAGAGAAGGAACCTTCTTGGGCGTCTCTTAATCGAGGAGTTCTGATCTGTACGGAATGTTGTACCATACATCGCAGCTTAGGCCGGAACGTATCATATGTGCGGTCTTTGCACAAGAGCTTTTGGAATACGAATCAGCTGGCTCTTGTGCACACACTCTACTCTAGCGGTTCCAACAATATATGGGAACACACCCTACTTGACCCAAGCAACCCGAACGAACGAAACCGTCGGAAGCCGTCCGCTAAGTACAAAATCATTGTGATGTTTTGTTGTATCGTCGTTAATCGTTTACATTCGCGTTGAAGGGACCCCCTGTATCCGGTTAAGGACCAGTTCATTCGGACGAAATACGAGAGCCTTTCTTTCGCGCTGCGAGCGAGTAGGGATGTGGGGCGGGAATACGCGACGGTCGAGGACCTCAATCGACAGTTGTTCTCCTGCGTTCGAACTGGTCATGTGGACACTACTTTGCGACTATTGGTCCTTGGAGCAAGCGCGAATCAATTCGTGGACCCTCAAACCGGGGCCACTCCAATTCATGTTGCGGCTAGAGAGGGTCAGGAGTTGCAGGTCTGTTCATTTCCTCGTTTATGGCAACCGTATTGTTGTAAATTATAATTTACTCTAGGTTGAGCTGTTATTTCTGTACGGTGCTGACTGTGCTCAGCCGGACTTTGAAGGTCTTACCCCTGTTGATCACGCCATGGCCGGAGGTCATAAAGAATTGGCAGCGCGTCTGATCGAGCTACAGTATGAAATAACTGACCGATTGTCGTTGTTCC